GGAAGCACCACGCTGGGAAGCACCACGCTGGGAAGCACCACGCTGGGAAGCACCACGCTAGGAAGCACCACGCTGGGAAGCACCACGCTGGGAAGCACCACGCTGGGAAGCACCACCCTGGGAAGCACCACGCTGGGAAGCACCACGCTGGGAAGCACCACGCTAGGAAGCACCACGCTAGGAAGCACCACGCTTGGAAGCACCACGCTGGGAAGCACCACGCTTCGAAGCACCACGCTAAGAGGCACCACGCTAGGAAGCACCATGCTAGGAAGCACCACGTTAGGAAGCACCACGCTGGGAAGCACCACGCTACGAAGCACCACGCTAAGAGGCACCATGCTAGGAAGCACCACGCTAAAAAGCACTACGCTGGGAAGCACCACGAACATGTGGAATAGAGTAGTTCAGGTGCTCGGAGCATTTCAGAGCGTTCGAAGTGATCGGAGCGTTCATTTTATTCAGAGCACTTGGAGCGTTCAATACGTTCAGAGTTCAAAAATTTTTATAATTGTTATCAATGATATTCAAATAAATTTTATAATCGGCGCTAGCAAACATGGCGCTAGGAAGCATCACGCTGGGGAGCACCAGAGACTTGCGATATTTTACCCCTGTTGATAATTGTTTATTGTTATGAGTTGAATTGGTTAATTCTTTAATATATTATTCTAACCCCACAGCCCGGCTTTTTAATTAATTTGTAATAACTACAAGTGCTTATTCAGCTGCTCTGGCACTGACATCAAGACACCACCAACAATTCTGTCGCAGGTGTCAGCTCATTGAGCTGCATTGCAGCATCAGCAGCGCAGCTGGCATCGACGCTGTAGTGTCGGTCGCTACGGCCACAACTGTGCTGTACATCGCACTCCCCGCCCCCCTCAGCTTGCACGCTCTGCACGGCAAATATAAGTTCCTTGGTGAGGGCGGGTGGTTTGGGATATGCAGCCTTGCAAGAACTGGTGCAGCAGCACCAAGTTTAGCTTAACGGCCTCGTTCTAAGGATAACTCTAACCGTTTTAGTTTTACATTTTACATTAGTGTTTGAGTTTTGAAATTTACATTTTAGATAAGTTTTACATTTTAAATTAGTGCCAGCATGTTTGCACTTTGCAAATAATTTGCTTGTTACATTTACATACATTTTGTTAGTCGTAATTTGCGTTATACGCCGTTTCCTAGTTTAAGGCTTAAATGCACTTGATGTCATCGGAGAGGTGTGCTGCTCGGTAAACGAAGGCACAAATGGGAATTTGTCAACGCTGCACTGGCCACGTGACCACCTCACGTGTGATTGGTATGATTGTTCACCCACTGGTCATTCGGTATGATTGTTGACAATTAGGCTGGCTGAGTTTTTGACGCCATTCTTTGCAACCATGCTGGATATGAGTTAGTAGCAGTTGGCCAAGCAACTGGGCTAATTAACAACTGACAGCAATGCATTGAGTGCTGCTAGCCATGCAGCGAAGGCTGTCAGCCAAACAGTGAATGCTGACTGCCATGCAATTATGGCTGGTTGTCTTGCAGTTATGGCTGGCAGCCATGCATGCAGTTATGGCTGTTAGCCATGCAGTCATGGCTGTTAGCCATGCAGTTATGGTTGTTAGCCATGCAGTTATGGCTGTTTGTCATGCAGTTATGGCTGTTAGCCATGCAGTTATGGGCCTAGACTCCTGCGTTTGGTATTTTTTTTATCCGAGACGAGACGAGACAACAGGCTCTGTCCCGGTTCGCAATAAAAACCGGGACAATTTCCAGCCCTCCGTAGGAATTCCGGGACGATACCGAGACGGGACGGGACATCCCGGTTAAAATAGTTACCTTAAAATT